ACAACAAACACCACATGCCAAGCGCTCGCGGGCGGCGTGTATCGCGTACGTAGGTTGGAAAACCACAAGGCACCAGTTTTGACGTCGAATCACCGCGTCCGAGCGCACAGGAACTCTCCCAATCGTGCGAAAACTCCCTGTACCGCAATGGGACGCCCGCTGACGTCACCTTCCTTACACATGACACACCCTGATATGAGCCACTGTTACCGTATATTCAGGCAGTCTTCACACAAAAAAAGGGTAAGCCATCACAAGAAATATGTCAAAAGTGTTAAAATTATATAAGTTATAATTTATATAGGCTTGGTAGGTTGTTACTGAAACTTTCTGTAGAGGGTACAAACCCCTCTTTGTATGCCTCTCTCTTTCTACTCCATCACTCTCTTTCTCTCTCCAACACTTTTTCTTCCCTCCTAGCTAAACCCCGCCGCCACTTTCATGGCGGCCTTCACTACCTCCTAGCCTAGTTCTACTAGCTTTTTAATATGGTATCAGAACAGGTGACCGTTTACGGGCCTGCTCCCCACGCTTCCGCCACGTACTTGTCTTTCGCCTGTCTTCGTTCCGTGCCGCCGATGGCGGCCTTTAGTTTTCCTGCCGACGTGGCGGCCTTGCCTTTCCGTGCCGCCGTGGCGGCCTCTCCGAGATGCCGCGGCGGCTTAATCGTGCTACTGTCGCACCTCTGCCTCGCCGCCGCAGCATCGACGTCGCGCTGTGGCGGCGTCTTTTGGCTGCCGTGGCGGCGTCGTCGGGCGACAGCCGACCGCGCATCGTCAGTGGTGCCGCCGGACCTGCCGCCCGCTCTGCAGCCGCCGGCGTGATTCTGGACTACGCCTCGCTCCCCCCCCCCCCCCTTTCCTTCCCCTCCGTTCCCCCTTCCTTGCCACAGTCGACGATTGCCTCGTGATGGCCGTCCCCGTCGCCGAGGAGCCTGGCCGTGCCGCCGAGAGGGCGGGGGCCGCTGCAGTAGCCTCTGGCGATTGAAGCCGCCGCCGCCGACGCCGCTGCTGCCGCTGGCCTGCTGCCGCCGCACGCCGTCGCTGACCCCGCTCTCGTCACTGCCGCTGCTGCCGCCATAGCAGGGCCCAAAATATCCGGGTGAAATGCCCTGATTACCCTGATTTTATGGGTCATTATTTGTACTAGTCTGATTTTTCAGGGTTTGAAAAATTTTAACCCTGATGTAGAAAGTGTTGGTTTTTTTTACCCTGGCTAAATCCGGGTGTGCGCCCGGCCAACCCTGATACGTCAGGGTGGCCAGGAAATTACCCTTAATGCAAAACAGTCAAGTGCTTTACGCGTGGCGTTTTTTTCCTCGCGCACCATCAGCAAATGCCATCCACATTCCTGCCACCTGCGGCATTTTGCCACCCTGCCCCACCCGCGCTGTCGAATATTCCCTCCCAGCTGTCCCTGCGTCAGCTTCTGTTAGGCCCGTTATTGGTCGCTTTGGCAGCAATATTGCCTTGGTCCCAGCTGACGAGAGTTCATTGCATGTGACGCATGAACCGCGCCCTCAGTGCGAGCCGTTCAGTTCCAGCATAGATGGGACTTTGACAGCTCACGCTTGAACGCGGCCCGCGTGACTGGACGAGGAATCTCAGCTGGGTGACGACGGCTGGCCCTCCATCCCTTCCATCGACTTCTTCATCCCCCCCAAACCAGACCCCAGGTTATCACCCTTCCCTAGGAGATCTCCCTCTCACTAGCTTCTCGAGCACAACCAGTACATGACAGTCGACAATGACGACGAGCCCCCCAAGTGCCGTCCTCGTGACGGCCTTAGCATACTGGGGATCTTTCCTCTCAAGCCTGCCACGGTCGTACCACTGCCTACTGGAGGTACATGGCAGGTCTCCCGTGATTCGCAGTCCCCCTCTCCATTGAGGTCTCCTCGTGCATTCTCGTCGCCGCACACAGAAAGGACGCCAGCGAGGGGGTCGCCTCCTGCTGTCTCGTTGCCCCATGCGGATACGCCACCCTTCAGCTACCCTTTTGAGCCTAGCTCCCCCGAGACGTCTTGGTACGCTCCCGCCGCCCAGCCGTGCGCATCCGCCGGTGAAGGTTCCTCGGGCCATGCTACCGAGTCTCCAGCACCTGCCAAGCGCAAGCGCGGTGGATACACGCAGCAGCGTCTCCCCTTTGCGTCACCGCCTAAGGAACCTCTGACCCCCGTGGTAACACCGCCTCCTCCTCCTCCGCCTCGCAGTACCCCGGGCACCGATGCCGATACGGAGTACGACATCGTCAACCGCCGCTACGTCGATGACTGGTCCCGTCGCTTCCCGTGGTTGCGCCTCCATCGTATGAAGAACGGCCGCCCGTCACTGAAGTGTGCAATATGTCTGCAGTACGGTGACGTTTTCAGCAATACGAAATACGGAAGGAAAAGCGAGGGCGGACGCGACCTGCAGGTCGGCAGCATCCGCACACATCTCGGAACCCGAGCGCACAAGGATGCTCTCGCGGCGAAAGAAGAGAAGGACCGGGAGCGCGATCACCAGGGCACCCTCGATCGGTGGCAGGGGACGGACGCTTCAACGAAGCACCTGATTCGGTGCCTCCACATCGCTCTCTTCGTTTGCAAAGCGGATGCGCCGATCGCCATGTTTGTCGCGCTCTGCTTCTTCCTCGCTCTTGAAGGACTGCCATATCTCCCGCCAGGAGGGGCGTACGGAACCTACTATACCGAGTAAGTTGTTTTAGCATGCGCATTTGAATAGTTTATCTTACTTTCATCGAAATAGTTCTTGTTGTTTATCTTGCTTTCCACATGCATCGAAATAGTTCTACCATAATGAATACTTACTCGGTTTGGTGTTGCTCCCCTTGCGCCACACTCCCCACAGCTACGGATTCAAGGAGTGCTTGAAGGCTACCTCACAGTACCTTCGTGACCGCCAGGTGGAGCACATCCGGTCCTCCCCGTTTGTCAGTATCTCGATCGATGAAAGCACGGATAGGGTGCATGGCAAGCACCTTATCTTGTATGCTACATTCTTCAAGGGGTCGGTCGTCGTGACAGAGTTCGTCACGCTCCTGACCATTGACCGCACTGACGCGGCTTCCCTCACGGCCGTTCTCGTGCACTACCTCCAGTCTATCGGGCTGGATCTGCAGAGGATCGTCGGTGTTGCCACCGACGGAGCCTCCGTCATGACTGGCAAGAGGACGGGCGTGGTGGCCCGTCTTCGTGCGCGGATTGAACATCTCTTTTCTGCTCACTGTATTGCTCACAAGTCGGTTTGCTGACATGGTTCAAACACTCAAATCCCCTTGCTGCCTATGCATCCTATGTTTACATTCCATCTCCTTCCTTCCACCCGCCTAATCACAGGGAGTCGTTGGCGGCGAAGGACGCGGCGAACCTAGACCCGGCGCTGCAAATTGTCGACACCGTCATCCGTGGCTTCGCCGAGTTCGTCGGGCGCTCGAACGTACAGCACTCGCGTTTCATGAACCTGCAGATGGTTTTCTGCTTCACCAACCTTGAAGCCCAGGGGATATACGCCATCCGCTGGCTTGCAAGAGGTGAAGCAGTGCACCGCTTCACGGATGTGCTCCCTGCGGCGATTGTCCTGCTTCGAGAAGCCGAGAGCCACCTGTACGACATCGTGACGTCCTTCAAGTTCCAGTACCTCCTCTACTTCCTCGCCGATGTCCTGGCGGAGCTCAACCACCTCAACCTCCGGTTTCAACAGAGGCAGGTAAGTGGTCTTCAGATGAACCCTTTTTCATGCTATTGATACTCTATTGTTGCTGTGTTTAAACTCAACGTCAAGCCGTGCACATGTTTAGCCGTAAATGGTTAACTGTATGCTCATGATCCGATTGCCCTCCCTGTTGGCTGGTGGACATCACGGTCGTCGCTGCCGTAGTGGCGAACACGTGCAGCCGCATTCAGAGCCGCTACATCAACTGTGGTGATGGTCTTCGGTTTGGCAACGGCGACAGCGAGCTCCTTGGGGCGTTTCTCGACCGCCATGGCACTGCAGACAAGAGGCAGCACCGGGTGTCTGGTGTGGACACCGATGGAAACCCCCAGTCCTTCGTCTATACTCTCCATGAGCGACAACTGGACGGTGATGAGACGGGCAGTGACTTGGCGTCGTGCAACGTCATTGCGCGGAAGTACGCCAGTGATCTAGTCATCGGCATCAACGGCCGCTTCAACGACCTCTACAACCTTGACGGCACGAAGCTCTTCAAGGTGAAGGCCTACCTCAACAACGACGACCTGCGCATGGCCCGCTTCACTCAGTGGCTGAGGCAGCTGGCCGGACTCTTCAGGAACAAGCTCCCTGGTAAGTTGTGTGCTCTGTACATGTGTATTCGCCATGTGAGTTTGCCCAATGTGTTTGCACCTAAAGCATCCATGTCTCACAATCCCCTCTGTTGTTTACTCGTTGCCCCCCTGCAGGTTTCGACTACCACAAGGCTGTGAGGGAGCTGTGGATGTTCACCAGCACCATGGCCTCGCAGTACAAGGACGACAACTTCTACACCGCACTGACCCTCACCCTCGACAACAACGACTGGCAGCGAGGCTACCCCAACATTCTGAGACTGTGGCAGGCGGTGGCAGTGCTGCCTCTCAGCACTGTCGAGTGCGAGCGTGGGTTCTCTAAACAGAACCTAATCAAGACCTGGGGCCGGGGTAGCCTTGGGGATGACCGCTTGGGTGACTTGATGCGATGCAGCTTGCTGGAGTACCAGGTGGACTGGTACGCTGTCGTGGCTATCTTCCGTGCAGAGAGGCACCGTCGCCCCACCCGAGACCTTCATGGGGTGAATCCGGCCCCTGCTGCACCCGCTGAGCCCCAGGGAGAGACTCAGCCTCTGGAGGAGCCAGTATTGGCTGTGTACGATGGCTTGTATAGCTGCAGCTAGGGTACAGTACTGTTGCATGCTGACATCAAAGTAGCTGTAGGTAGGCTAGCTTAATGAAAGTATGTAGTCGTAGGTAGGTAGGCCATTTAGAGATAACTGTGCATGTT